CCTCTACTGTTTTTGCTTTACATCAATAATTTATTTAGGGTAAAAACGGAGGGCAAACTTTTAAGCTTTGCAGATGATACCACCATTTTTTATAGAGGTACAACATGGGAGTCTTTGAAAGCTACTATCGAGAAGTATTTTGTCTCTATTAAAGACTGGTTTGACCACAATGAAGTCAGCGAAATTTTTGGGTATAAAATTAGACCCTCATCTTAAGTGGGACTCCCAAGTGCAACAAATTACAAAAAAATTACGATGTCTTATTTCCTATTTTAAAATACTAAAACCAATTTTATCAATCTCACAACTGCACACGGTTTACGATACACTTGTAGAGTCGCATTTAAGATACGGTATCTTGGGCTGGGGTGGAGTTTACAAAGCACAACTAAGAGAGTTGGAAGTCGCCCAAAAAAGAATATTGAAAATTATTCAAGGGGTGGAAATAACATACCCTACAGGAATCAAGAAAAATGGATTGTAGGCAGTTATATTCCCTTAATCTTCTATTACACATCCATTTAAAAAAAAAAAGTTTTAAATTAGTCAATACCAGAAGTCATAACTGCTTCCCAACTCCAAAAATGGAAAAAACCATAGGACAACGTAGTCTTACTTACCTGGGTCCAAAAATATATAATAACCTACCTGTAAATCTAAAAAATGCAAATGCTAAATCTTTTAAAAAAATGTGCAAGCACCATATACTACAGCAACCCAGAGAGATTACGGAAAAACAAATCGATCTCAAAAACACATGTGTATATTAAATTACTTACAATTCGCATATTTTAACTTGTCCAAATCTAGTCAATCTGTAATATTTAATTGTTGAATTTTTTGTTCGTTTATTGTTTTTGCTAAATGCCTTTCTTTCTTCCTTTATTTATTGAATCCTTATGTTCTATCTGTCGAATATGATTTATAATTAGTGTTATTTGGTAAAATTATATTTATATACACGCACAAATGTTTAATTACATGTAAGTATTTTTAGCATATTTATTGATTATAATGTAACTTGTAATTATTGTAAATGCCTTTCTTTCTTTCTTTATTTATTGAATGCTTGTGAATCCTTATGTTTTATCTGTCGGATATGATTTATAATTAGTGTTATTTAGTAATATTATATTTTTATACACGAACAAATGTTTAATTACATTTAAGTGTTTTTAGCATATTTATTGATTATAATGTAACTTGTAATTATTGTAATTTTCTCTTCTTCTCAATAAATATTATTATTATTATTATTATATATATATATAAATATATATATATAAAACTTGCTCAATCTGTAAATTTTTTTATTGATCGAAGGAACTGCAGTTTTTTGTGATTTTTAGCAATTTTTAGCGATTTATTGCAATTTATATTTTTGCAACATTTCATTTGACGCAGGATTAAATAACAATTATCTAAACAGAATTAAAGATTTAATAAAAACATTACAGCCCTTTCCTATTCCGTTGGCTAAAATATCATTATTACAATCACTTTTATTTGACATTTCTTTAAATATGTTTGTATACCTATAGTTTGCGTTGATAAAGGCTCTTAAGGTCGAGAAAATATATTGGCAGATCATGCATTATGGTTCAAGGATTAAGGAGAAAGTGGACACAACCTATATTTTTATTTTGTTAAAAACACAATTAATTCTTCTGACCTGCAATATTTATTAAAAAAAGTAATTACAAAATTGCAATCTATATGCTTAAAGGTAAAAATAACTTTATGTGATCAGGGACCAACGAATATTTCAGCATTGCGTAAATTGTCTCAAAATGAGCATTTTTTAATGTTAATTTTCAACAAATTTTTGTTTATGATCCTCCTCATGTGCGACGGGTCGTAAGTTAAGATAGGTGACAAGGCGCAATTTTTTTATAATAAGAAAATGTGCATCGGCACAATAAGGGACATTTCAGGTAAAATTTTATTAATCTCTATTTTTGTTTACTTATTTCTTGCAACAATTTTCTATAGAATTATAATTTTGGGACAATACCATTAATTATGTTTGATACTTTGTGTTGTAGATGATGAATTAATTTTAAATAGTAAAATGAGTTTAAATAATGAATTAAAGATATTGCCAAAGGAACCACAAAAGCTACCATCAAAGCGTGTGTCAAAGAGAAAAAGGAACGATTCATCTGTTTATGTTTAACAATTGTTTGTTTTGGACAAAGACAAAAGAAAATAGTTCAAGTTTAACAGTTGCTTAAAGCCTCACCAAAAAAGTTTTAGAAAAACTAAAAAAAAAATATGATAGTGACTCAGATGATTCAGACTACCCAAAATTAAATCATATGGTAAATATTTAAAATATTATTTGGTTTTATTTTACGTAAATATTTTTGCATTTTCTTGTAAATAAAAAAGTTTTCAGGAATATTTAAAAGCTAAAAATACTAATTTTAAAGGAAATAAGACCAAATATAGAGGAAGCAAATATTTCACCTACCAAAGAAGAGCTTAAGGCTATGCTCACTCGTGAGGAAGCTCTACTTGCCTTGAAAAAGAACTTAAAATGAAACAAGGAAGCTGCTGAACAAGATTTATATAAAAAAAGTTTAAAAAATACTAACTTTTTTGTTAACAATAATTATGATTATAATCAACTCTTTGGAAAAGAATATAAAAATGAAGAATCAGTGATTACTAATAATTATTAATAAAATATACCTATAGGTGCCAAGGTTTGTGCTTGGTTTTTCACTATTGTTTTATTTGTTAATGATTAACATTATTGAGTTTTTTTATTAAATAACGAAATGATTGATTTAATGTTGTAATCATTTTTTATTCTAAAAACCCTATGCATCAATGGAAAACAAAAATCATAAAAAAATATGTTTAAAAATATATTTTTTCTTTTGTTTTTTAACATAACATTTTAAAATTATTACAAAATGACTATTTTTTATTCGGATGGTACTGCTGATGAACAATACATATTGCAAAAAAATTGTTTATGAAAGTGCAATGGGGGCTTCAACAAAAAAAACCCATTTAGAAGAGAAGAAGAAGAAGAGCTTTAAAATTGTACACTAACAGGAAAGCCAAATGTAGCTACGGCAGCCAAATTAAGAGAACATGAGGAAAATTCTAAAATAATAAAAAGACCTAAACCTCTTGATGATGCAGCCAAATGCGATAATAGGTAAGCAAGCTTGTTTATGAAGATTAAATGAAATTCTAATTATTTATTAATTAATATGAATAAATTATAAATGTTTTATAATATTTTTGTTCCAAATTTTTTTATTATGGTCAGCAAGGCAAAATCTTGAAGTTAAGTCAGTAAATGTGTAATACTTCAAACAATTTCACAGAGGTTGGGTGAGATTAAGCGCTAAAAAAAGAATTCCGGCGTTAACGCTGAACAACATTTATACCCGACAAACAAATTGTGCCCTGCGTCCACAAAAGGGTCGAAAACGTTTGTGTTACTTTTAGCCCTTTACGACGAGCACATGCGACTGGGCATTTAAAATCTAATTATATTGCTATGAATAAATAGTCTTATTACCTCATTGCATTTTGGGAAGTCTTAAACTCATTTATAGTAAATATTTTATTTTTATTTTAGCCCATAATACCTTTATACACATTTACATTAAGCCGGGTCTACAATTGTCGCAGGTCGAACATAACCTTGCGCAGAGCACCCAGCTGACAAAAGAACCTTGCTCAATCGCCACGTCGCGGTGTGCTTTGCGCAAGCTTATGTTCTGCGATCGGACCCCTGCGACAATTGTAGACCCGGCTTTAAACATTATGCGTTGCTTTCAGCTCGGGCAAAATTGACAATAGACGGGCGTGATGCGTCAAGCCTAATGCGACCGTTTGCATTCTTTGTTTAAAAATAATTTAGGTATATTATTTATAATGAATAACAATAGTAAAACTTTATTATAAGTTCTAATTGTTTGACGGTTGTTCATAAGTAAATAATATGTTTAGTAAAAACATTAAAAATTTGTTATTTTTTTGTGATACCACGTCTGCGCTTGCATGATATTAATATTGTACCTTGATTGCCTTAAGATACTGTATTTTTCATTTGTTCGTTCAAGGCTGGAATATTGCTCGATAATTTGGTATCCTATATACAATATCTACAACAAGCAATTGGAATCAGTTAATAGAAAATTTTTAAAATATCTTAATTATAATTATAACTGGTATCTACCCACCTCAGGGTTATAGTCATGTAACACTGCTTGACAGATATAATTTCTTATCATTAGAAACTAGAAGAGTTAATACTTCGTTATCTTTTCTTTATAATTTATTACATAATAATATCGACTGTCATATTTTATTGAGTAGAATTAAGTTTTATGTCCCAAGACAGGGTACCCGTTCCTGTCCAACTTTTTATTGCTGTAGATGTCGTACTAATATTCTTAAAAAATATCCTATTTATATTATGTGTAGAAATTTTAACATGTTAAATGGTTCTCCTAATATTAATTATTCCTCAATAAATAATATTGTGAATAGAATCAATCTTTAATTTTGTCAAATAGGTTATATTTATTATATTTACTATATTTTATTATATATTTTATATGTGGTGCACTTTGTTAATATGTAATATTACTGTATGTGTTATAAATTGTCCTGTAATTGGTTATTTGTACTGTTGGACAATAAAGTATTATTATTATTAAGTATTATTATACGTCATATTTAGTAATGATTGCCGTCATCATACAATAGTGTGAAAGTGCGTTGAAAATTGGATTAATCCCATCAGCAAAATTGTTTATTGGATCTAAGACTTTTTACTAACAAGAGTAATGTTTTTTTTATAAAATCTATTGGAATAGGCAATAAATCAGCAATACCTTAAGCGTGGATGCCGAGTGGTCGAATTCGCCCGTAGCAGGCTTCTTATGTCAAAAGACGAGGCGATTTTTAAATTATAAACGTTATTATAGGATATCAGACTAAAGGACCTAGTTTTCACTTTAAATAGTCTAATGAAATCAGTAAGAATTTTAATGGAACGCCTGGCTAACTACGATGTATATGAAAACTTTAGTTGGAGCGGCAAATCAGGAATATTAAAAGGTAAACAGCTAATACGATATTATAACACTATCAGCTGAAATTCAATTACTTTTAGATAATGTAACGAAACTAGTCTTTTCTGATTTAGAAGGGGTTATAAAACTTGTGATAAATACAATTAATATGAAAAGTTCAGAACCCAGAGGAAGTGTCATTAAGACTTTAAAAGATTTCTGTAAGCGGAGTTCGCAAAACAAGAAACGGGTAGAAGACAAACAAAGAAAAGCAGAAGAAAATGAGTAAATGCCTCTGTAATACAGATTTTTATTTTATATAGGTACGTTCTATTGAACGTTGACAAGTGATAATATTATTTTTAATATTTTATACCAGTTACTAACAAGTACCTATAGTAAAATGGGGTTATTAGCGACGTCGGGGTTACTCGGGAAGCAACTTCGGATGTTCTAATTTTAGTAGCGGCAACAACGCAAATATAAACATAACCTCAATTTAATATTTTGGTTAGTTGAAAAGCAACCTGTTGATGATTAATTTAACGAATTTTTCATAAATTAATGATATTTCAAAAGGCAAAAATAATTGGTCGAAAACTTTAACTGAAAGAGGGAGTTAAAAGGTAAACAGGTAAGTCCAATAACATTTTTTAGTTAGTTTTGTATGTTTTATAAATACTGCCAATGTCGCTGCCCGCTTTTAGACAATTTTTTTAGATTTTAAAATATTTAAATATTTGGGACAATCATTGTCCCAAGTAAGCCTGTGTCCCAAGTTACCCCATGTTATTTAATCCGTTTTGTTTCCAGGGGTAACATGCCAAGAAAATATATTCGCAAAGTAGGTTCTAAAAAATATCACGACTTCAAAGAAAACAATATGAAAAGTGCCATAAAAGACGTACAATCTGGAATGTTTTTATAGAACAGCGGCCGACAAATGGAAGGTAACCAAATCAACTTTACAGAGAAGATGTAAAAATCAGAATTTGGGAAGATATGGAAGACCTACAGTTCTGAAAAAAGCGGAAGAAGACGATCTTATTAGAGGGCTAACCACAGCAGCTGAATGGGGATTTCCCTTAAGTCACTTTAAAATAAGATGCATTGTGAAACAATATCTGGATAGTAAGGGTGTTGTAGAAAAACGATTTAAATATAATTTCCCTGGTCCTGATTGGCTTTTGTCACAGTATTCATTGCACGATTCCGAATCCTCAGTTGGTCCGATGGACTTTGACAATGTGGATATAGAGGAAAACCGAGAAGATTTTGACCAGAGTGATATAGAAGAAAATATGACATTAGCTATCAGAAGAAAATTCAAAAAGTAAAAATCTCAACCAAGAATTTTGTTATTGCGAAATTTACCTTTTTAGCATCAACAAAAAAGAAACTTGAAAAATATTATATTGGACTTGTCGAATCGATCGACTACTGATGGGCATAAGACATTTTCTTGCAGTTTTATGAGAAAATCTTCAAAAAACAACAAACATTTTGTGTTCCCAAATTTAGCCGATGAGTTTGATGTCACAAAGGATAAAATTGTAAGAGTGATAAAAGCAACGGACGTGAGCATCACTAGAAGCCGCCATACATTCAAAGGATTGGTTACAATAAGGAGACTGCAATTGATCTATTTTTTTTGTGAATACAGAATATTTTTTTAGTTCCTTTTGGTCTATGGACTATGTTACATGTACCCACCATTATTTTTGCATTTTTGTTATGTATAAATAAATATTTTTAATAAATTGATGTTAACTCAGATTTTTCTTCCCTCTAAATAATTCTCTGTTTGTCGGGATAGGTTTTATGTATTTGTATATATACGAGCCCAAAATCATATCATTTGGCCCAGTCAATATTTTATTTTTTACTTTATTTTAGAAATAAAAATTTATTAAATCCAACTATTATTATTGTAATTTTAGAAAGTTTTTTTTACATTTTTTACTAAAATTAATATTAAAAAACGAAAGATATGCCTAGAACACTAAATTAAATAATATAACAATGAATATTTTGGTTTGGGCCATGTAATAAACGTAGCATTTTTATCATCAAATTAGCCTTGAGTTTAAGCAAAAACATTTTCCATTTATTGATTGTTGTTAGTGACACATAAGCAGTAAATTGTCAGTATTTTAGTTTAAAAAAATGGTGCTGTAATAAGGAGAATGTAGAAAGGTTCTCCTGAACATGTGCGAAATAGGTAAATTTAAAAAAAGACTATTTCAGATATAGTTTATTGGGTTGATTTTAAAGAAAATTTTAATAGAGGCCATAAAGTACTTTACAGCAGGCTGTATTCGGCTCAGCGATGCCAGACGTACCATAATTATGGAATTGTACCATAATTTTTATTACTTACTTACTTAGTAACTGTTCAAAATAGATATGGACAAGATAAAGTAAAGCCTGTGGAAATATCCCATTATAATATGAATGTCAGGAATCGATCGTAATGATCAGTTATTATTCGTCTTTTATTTTTATTTTATTATTTTTAATGTGCTTTCAACAGGCACCAGGCCCAATTACAGAAGTACATAATGACAAACACAAATAAACAGCCATACCCCTGGTGGGATTCGAACCCACGACCACTCGGCTTGTAGTCCGCAGTGCTAACTACTACACCACCGAGGGCGGTCCCAGGAAAAGTATCAGATGGTACAAAAAAGTAATGTTCCACCTTTTGGACATTACACTTTGGAATTCATATTATATACGTAGAAAGTTTGATTAAAAACAAACCTTCCTACAGTTTCAGGAAGATGTTATAAAACACTATAGTATTACATAGTTTTGGCACTTGGCTTGTACCGCTTAAAAGTGCTGACCGAGCTATTCGTACCCCCACGGTACCTAATGCGAGGTTTCCTAAATGAGGAACCAGGCTGACCAAGGCAGTCTAGTACATGTACACTAATTGTAAATCTTTGTAATAAACTAATGTAGCTACACTTGATGTCTTTCAATCCAAAGTCCGGTTGCTTCCATTACATGGCGATCCTGCCATCGAAACTGCGTAAAAAGTAGTAGTGTTGCGCGAGTTAAGTTTCGAATCGTTAATAGTTACACAGTTAGATAATGGGAAAAAATCAATCCAAGGAGAAGACGGACGAAATTGTCATTGCCCAAGCAGGGAACGTCAACGTGTCCGATTCCACCAACTCCCTCAACGGATGGAGTGCAGCCCATGTCATAGAGGCCATATTTGTGGTCCTGTTAATTGTGGTAGTAGTCTACGTGGCATGCCAGTGGTGTAAAAGAAGGTTGGAGAGGAAAATACGCCACGAGATCAGCCTAAGCCGTCCCCAATTGAACAACGTTTAGTAGGTCACCTAGCAACCAACGATTCCATTCAATCGTCAGCAAAATTTGCCAATTGGAACCGTGAGTTAATGCAAATGTTTTTATTATGTGTCCACTAAAAAGTTCGCGATAATTTAATAATTTAAGATATTAAAAGACTTTAAAACACTACCTATAGTTATATTATAATATATTTGCATAGTAAATAATATATTTGCTAAGTAGAAATTACAAGTATTTAACGTAAAATGAACACAGTAAAATATTAGCAATTTAAAAGGTTTTTAAATTATTTATTTCATAAATTGTGCATGCGTTACATTTACGAAGAATTTGTATTTTACGTTTAAAACAAAAATAATACTCAGCAAATAAATTGTTTCGAATAATTTGACACGATTACCTATTTAATTCCTTTAATTATGATAATAATTAAATAATGATTAATTGCTATTGAATAAATAAGTTTTTATTCAAGAAATATTTAATTTTTATTATAGGAATATTTAATTTAATAGAAATATCGAAGTTTTATTTAGGAAATATTAAGAAACTTAAAAATGTTTAAAATTTAAAACTATTTAAAATTTAAAAATACTTAAAACTTAAAAATATTTATAAATTTAAAAATTTTGAAAATATTTGAAATATTTAGTTTTTATTTAAATAAATTAAATCAATAATATAAATATGATAAATATAAATATAAATAACTTAAATATTTAATTTTTTTTAAGAAATACCTAATAAAATTTATTAACTAAATACCTACTTAATTTTATGAAATATTTATTTTTTTTAATTTTTGGAATTTTAATTTATTCTAATCCTATATTTAACTACGAAAAGTACCTTAATGCCAAAACCTGAAAAACTTGAAGTTCTTCTGCAAATTAAGAATACGGTCGTTAAAGAATCCAAAAGGGTCCTTAAGAAAAAAGTACCAAAGACAGAAGGGGTTCGTACTGAGGTGCGAGATAATTTAGTACAATTATATAACGACTTTAGCAAACAAACTGAAGCAGCTTGGCCTTTATTTTCTATCCAAGAGAAACAGCAGGCGCAACAACTGTTCCTAAATATAAGAGATCGCACGGTAAGGTCGTTTCAAGTATTGAGAATCAGGTACAAGGTACCAGGATCTTGTGATGATACAATAGATACTAGCAACAGCGAAGACGCAGAAACAGACGACGACACTGACGGGGAAGAAATTATTGACCAGATAAAACCTGAGGAAAACATGGCCAGCAAAACCGAATTTATCAATACTGCCAGCAAAGTCCTTTACTTTTGATGGGTCTCCAGACAATATGGTTACATTCATAGATGCCTTAGAGTTCCTTAAGGGCACCATCGAGGGCATTGAGGATTATGCAGCAGCATACATAAGAACTAAACTGACTGGTAAAGCTCGACAGTTGGTAACTGATACGGACAAGTTAGACGATATTATTCGTAAACTAAAAAGGGATATTGCGGTCGAAAACTCGCAGGCCGTGTAGGCGAAAATCTCATCTCTTAGGCAGCAAAACAAAAATGCAGCTAAGTATGCGGATGAAATCGAGCAATTAGCTACAAGGCTAAGAAGTGCCTATATCTCAGAAGGCGTACCCGCTGAATAAGCAGAGGTGTACACTACAGACAAAGTAGTGGAAACGCTGGTTAAGAATGCTACAAACCCGAAGGCGAAAATAATAATCGAGGCCGGCACATTTAGAAACATTCAGGAGGTGCTGACTAAATTCCTCAAAATATCACCCGATGATGAAGTAGCAGCATCAGTATTGTACTTTAGGGGCCATTGACCAGCGAGGAAACTCTTATAGAGGAAGAAATGGCAGAGGCTATAGGAGAAATAACTACGAACAACGTAATCAAAATGACGAGCAGCCAAGGAATAACCACAATAATAACCATCCGCAGAACAGATATGGTGGACGTGGTATTAATAGAAGAAATAATAATAATAGAGGAAACTCCCAGGGTCCGAGATGGGTGCGTAACATAAATGGGAATGAAGTGGAAAACGAGAGAGCTCCCCAAACCGGTCCATTGGGAGAGCTGTAGATGTATTCAATTTGGACACTTTACAAGATCAATGACCAGGAACGAAGCGTCTAAGGAAAAGGTTATTCTGGAAAAAGCCACAACAATAAACCCAATTAGAGTGTACCATGTAACCGTCATTTTGACAGTTACTCATTTATTTTATTTTAATAGTTTTTTTTACATCTAGAACGGTATGGATGTACACGGTTAAGTATTTAATTTTTAGTTTTACTAATTGTTAAGTATAATTTTTACAAGGATAATTGTTTAGTGTTTTAAATGCCTCTTTCCAAGAAAATCTATTAGTTTTATTGGAATTCCTTTTACTGACACATGAATAGCATTGCCGGTATTTAAAACTCTTTTTAAGCCAGTTCTTTTAATTTTATTCAAAAACGGTAATTTGATAGTATGCAACACAAACACTTCCGTGTGAGCTTGGTTGATGTAGTAATAATGATAATTATAATTAATATATTCATTTTGATGGCTGGTTTGCCGTTATTGACAGTTTAGTGTCAGTGGAGGGAATTTTCCAAATGATTGCGTTTAGGGGGGTATGTATTTGGGTTTTTGAGTATGTTACTAGGGGCGTATCAGTGCAAGTGTGGCTGACGGAGTATTGACGGTTGAAGTTTGGGTCCTGGTAGAATTTGCGGGAATTCTTTGGGGAAATGTCTGTTAACATAGGCAACAATGTTGGGATTTTATTGGGTTCGAGACTTTTCCAGCAGGTCTTCTTCGCACTTAGGTTTTCTACGCATCAGATTTTGAGTTGAGCTTCCTTTTATAATTTAGTCGTTGAAGAGTTTAGATTAGAGTTAAGTTTGTGCTTAAATTATGGAAAATTTCCAATAACACATGGTAAATCTCTCAATCTACTTGTATAATTCCGACTAAAACACTTTTAGAATGGTACGATGAGCTCTGGGTGAGTTTTTGACCTGTTGCTGAAATTAAATGTTTTATCCACGAGGTTCTCCATTTTAGGGTTGTGTTATTTCCTCATTTTTGGTCTTTATGCAGTCCTGACGTTGTATAGTTATAAAAACTCCTTTAAACAAGGGTAAGTTAGGCGGTTAATAGTTTTTTTAGATGCTTGGGCATCATACCATATTTTTTTTAGGGTTTTTATGTTGGAGTTTTTTGTAAGACTTTTTATGTCAGATTTGTTGTAAAGGAATGTTTTTTTACCCTGAACTTGTTTTGGATAATGGCAAGTTCTTACGTTATTTAAAAGCCATCCTGTATAATCTGACATGGTAGGAGACTTCAACATCGGAAGCCAACCCATTCGGAGACACACTCTACCAGGGCCCCAACTACGAACAGGTCGTACCAATTTTGAATATTAAAGTTCACGTACACTACACTCCTTATAATATATTATGTTTGTGTACTTTTAAGTTAAGAGTTCAAAATAGTTATTTTAAGTATATATATTTTTTTGTAGCATCGATAATATTTTGTCAGTTATCAGACTTTGGTTTTTGTAAACCATATATGGCCATATAAGGGTGCACCAAAATATTTATTATTACATGCAAAGTGATCATTTCAACATCGGTGAACAAATATAACTGATTTATATTTTTTTTAAACTTGACTTTTAATAACCACCCTTAGTCTTTAGTAAGATTGTGTCTGACTTACTTAGATTTTAACAACTTGCCATAATAAGACACTGGCGCCCAATCTTGGATTTATGTTAGTAAAAACACGTAAGTATTGAGAAACAACATTTGCCCACCGACCTATCTCACCAATGTAAAGCTGCCGTTAGCCATAGCCCTCGAGTTGAGGTTACAACCAAGAGGTAAACAATGTCAATATTTTAAAAATTCCCTACGTTAAAATTAAAATAAATAAAGACTATATTCAGATACGAATAGGTCAAGGTAAAGTCAGCGCTGACGAATGTATACAGGTCACTAATGGCAACATTTCTCTAGACGAAATATTGCATAAGCTGAAAAAAATGGCTGGTGAACACTGTTACAAAGTACTAAAATTGTCAATTTCGAGTCAAATATTTAAATTTTTCACCATAAACGACTTTAAAACAGCAGGGGGTGAACTACTAAAAAAGATCCAAGTAGTGTTGTTCGAGGATCCAATATTCATAAAGGATATCGAGGAAAGGCAAAGGCTCATACAAAAATTCCACGACTGCCCAATAACAGGAGGACACTGCGGTCAAAAGAGACTGCTGAAGAAAATAAAATCGCAGTATAACTGGAAAAATTTGGCGAAAGACGTTGCCAAATACATCAAGAACTGCAGTAAATGCCAGATCAACAAGGCAAGAGTCAAGCACCAAGAGGAAATTGTGATCACGCCCACACCACAGCGAGCTTTCGATATCACAAGCATAGATACAATCGGCCCTTTCGTAAAAACAATTACAGGAAACATATACGCTGTCACGATCCAGTGTGAACTAACGAAGTATGTAGTCATCATACCAATTCCCAACAAGGAAGCAAAAACTGTATCTAGAGCTATAGTCAACGGATTCGTCCTACACTTTGGTCCAATGAGAGAAATTCGTACGGACATGGGAACCGAGTACAGAAATGAGATACTCGAAAATCTGACAAAAATGCTAAATATTGAGCACAAGTTTACAACAGCATACCACAGTCAGTCTATTGGTGGCTGTGAGAGAAACCATCGAGTACTGAATGAATACTTGAGGGCCTACATCAACAAGGATAAGTCAGATTGGGATGAGTGGATTCAATACTTCGCGTTCTGCTACAATACGACACCGAGTACGTACCACAACTATACACCGTTTGAGTTGGTTTACGGAAAAAAAGCAGAATTACCGTCTAAGTTGTGTGGTGGTGTAGATCCGGTGTATAACATAGAGGCGTATGAGAAGGAGATGGCATACCGTTTACAAAAATCTCAACAGAGGGCTCGAGAGATGATGGAGAAGGAGAAGCTCAAAAGGAAGGTTTCCTATGATAAGAACAAAAATAAAATCAACGTTCACGTTGGTGATCCCGTAGTAGTAACTAACGAAAATCGTACTAAATTAGACCCCTGGTACAAAGGTCCTTTTAAGGTAGAGAAATGTATCGACACGAATTGCATTATATCAAGTGAAAAAGGGAAAACATTTACGGTACATAAAAATAGATTACAACATTATAAAACCTAGGTCAATAAATTGCGCATATCATATATCATATATTATGTTTACCATTTTTATCGTATTATTTTACTGCATGCATAATTTTAGGAGAACAGCTGTTAGTTTAAGGCATTATTTTATTTAAGATATATATTATCGGATAATATAAAATATTTTAGATTTAAGTAGCATTTTATAAATATTTCTTTTTAATTATTTGTATTGTTAATATTAAAATTGTTTTTATATTTAGTTATTTAGAGTGCAGTGTACATTTCGCTCGGACTGTGTTTGTGCAGTGTTTTATGTCAGGTTCAATAAAGTTCATTTTGTGATAAACTTCATTTTTCAAAAGGGGAAGGTGTAGTACATAGTTTTGGCACTTAGCTTGTACCGCTTAAAAGTGCTCACCGAGCTATTCGTACCCCCACGGTACCTAATGCGAGGTTTCCTAAATGTGTAACCAGGCTGACCAAGGCAGTCTAGTACATGTACACTAATTGTAAATCTTTGTAATAAACTAATGTAGCTACACTTGATGTCTTTCAATCCAAAGTCCGGTTGCTTCCATTACATTGTTGATGGTAGAAATTTAGTTCATTCTGGGCTCATTCGTGGAGGAAAAAGAAAGCGCAATGATGAGCCCCTTCACCAAGAAAGGAGAGATGAACCACTTCAGCATCATGCCATGCATTTCCTAGATACAATTCCTAATGCTAATAATCCTCAAAAGAGTCACCATATGAGATGCAACCTGTCCCGAAAAACCTCCTCTATGTGTAGTGCCATGTTTTGAAGAGTATCATAAGTCAAAGAACTAGTTATATATAAATAAAGGTTCGCGAAATACATTCGAATCGTCTGGATCAGAGTCGGAGGAACAAACACACCAAAGAAAGCGTTTTAAAAATGTCCAAAGGCGCGCTAATAGGCCTCAAAGATGGGAAAGCCAAACTGCTTTTAAAGGCTGTTAAAGGTATGTTTGACAAAATAGAATAAGTAAATTTGCATTGTTTATGTTTTTAATAATTTTAGATAATGCTCTAAAAGCAAAGTGTATTGCATGCAATTCAGAATTTGTTGCTGACAGCAAAGGAGCAAAACATGAAAAACTAGTCAAAGTCATCCGTCCAAGTCAGACAAAAATTAATGTATCCTTTTATAAAAACAATGAAGCAAAAATGAAGTGGGACGAGCTGAAATAAAAATGTTGGCCTTCATTGCTGAACACAATCTAGCTTTTAAGACAAGCGATCATTTAATACCATTAATAAAGAACATTTTTCCGGACTCTAAAATTGCACAAAGTTTGCAAATGTCAAGAACCAAATGTACCTGTGTTATCAAGAATGTTTTGAGAAAAAGTAGTTTTGATGAAATTTGCGATGATTTAAGAAGAAAAAAGATAGATGAATCCACTGATATAGGAACTGTTAAAAACATGTGCATTTGTGTTCGCTTCGTTTGGTCCAATGATATTCTGGCAAAAACGCGGATGAGGCAGTGATTGGCGCTACTGCAGAAGTAATTTTTAATAAATTAATCAACATTTTTGAATCCTCCAGGATACCTCTAGACAAAATCATTGGTTTTGGTTCAGACGGATGCAACACTATGTTTGGCTCTAAAAATTCCGTTGTTAGCCGATTGAAGCTAAATTTACCTGGAATAATTGTACAAAAATGCATTTGCCATTCCCTGCATTTATGTTCCAGTGAAGCATGCAAAGTTTTACCTCGCCATTGTGAAGATCATGTCCGGGATATTTTCAATTTTTTTAAACCCAGTTCTAAACGTCAATCTCAACTATTAGAATTTTAACAGTTTTGTCTAGTAGAACCACATAAAATCCTTAGGCCTTCTCAAACAAGGTGGCTTTCATTATTAGCGGTAGTTAATAGGATATTTGAACAATGGAAACCTTTGCAATTATATTTCACACAACAATGGACTGAACATAGGATGCAGTCTTCTGAAACTATTGCAGACAGGCTAAATGACTCTGAAACCAAACTCTTTTTTTATTTCCTGCAATGGATTCTGCCCAAGTTTGTCGATCTCAATCAATATTTTCAAAATGAAAGAGTGGTTATTACTGAAGTATATACCAAGATAACTGAAACTTTTAAAGACATGTAGACTATTTAGACCCTAATTATGTACATAAAACAGACCTATCAGATATTGATCCAAATAATGTGTCACAGTTTATTAATTTAAATGAAATATATCTTGGAGTCAGAGTTGCTGAAAATATAAACACACTAAACCCTAAAGAAAGAGATGATTTTTATATCAGATGTCGGCAATTTTTGATAGTATCCTGAAAGGAAAATAGAAAAAGATTTGATTTCAAAGAAAACATTTTATCCAAAATAGCAATATTTGATAACAAATATTGGCTATTATATATTGCTATAAGTAAAAACCTAAATCGATTTTAAATATTATGAATTCTTTGCCTAGAATTATAAAACAAAATGATTTAGATAAGAAACAAAAGGTGGATGATCAGTGGAGGCTGTGTTGTCAGTTAATTAATAATTTCGATGATGACTTAAAAAATGAAAGTCTTATAGACAAATACTGGAATAAAATTATGTTATTTACTGACCTGTCAGGTCAAAATGTATTTAAGGATTTGAGCGAATTCGTTTTGGACGTTTTGGTAACACCACACTCAAATACATCATGTGAAAGAGTTTTTTCGAAAGTAAATTTAATAAAAACTAATGTTCGAAATTCGATTAATGGATTGCTCTTAGCATCCCAAAGTACTAATGGGGAATGCTACAATTTTGATGAATCTAATTCTTTGCTATAAGCAATGGAAGCTAAAAATTTCAATTTCAATCCGATAACGAGATTGGTGGGGGAGCATTTACCAAAGTAGGCGTTCTAACGCTGGCATACCCATCAACAAGAATGAACAGTAGAGAATATATTGGTGTACTTGGGGAACATTTAATATCTTATTTGAACAACAACAACGAACAACAATTATTATTCCAACAAGATAACGCTCAAATACATGTCAGCAGAGAGTCGAGGAGGTGGTTTGAAGCCCAAAATATGAAACCATAGGTGAACTCTCAAATGCTCTAGAAGATATTTGGACAATAAATAGAAGCAGCCAAAATTAACTTCAAGGTTGGAACAATGGTCTTAATAGAGGAAGATAACATTCCTCCAATGAATTGGTTGATGGGACGAATAACGGAAGCATTTTCCGGAAAGGATGGGGTTGTAAGGGTGGCTACTATACAAACCAGAAATGGTGTATTTAAGAGAGCTTGTGCCAAATTGGCGGTTTTACCAATAAATTAAAAAGAATACATATATTAATCTATCTTTGCATCAATTGATCCGTTACCATCTACATCATCTGCAGCAATAAATCTAGAGCGGTTTACATTATTCGAAAATCCAATTGATGAAATATTAAACACAAAGATTGCAAACCTATTTTCACTACCCCATAAAATACCTTCTGAAAAGGTAAGAAAAGGCCAAACGCTAATATTTCGACTTTAACACCCATAATAGGCGCAAACCTCAGAAAAGGCCAAGAAAAAACACTTCTTCGGAGTCAGATGTCAGCCTAAATCAGAAATGTGTAACGTTTAATTTTTTGTCTAGGGCTATTTTATCTAAAATTATCAAAAAATTTAACAGTATCATTAAAGTTTTTACCTGAACATATTCGCTAACAATAAAATCCACGGTTTTGCTTAATATTTGTCTTTATTGTGACATTACGATCATTAATATTACTTTCTAGTTTATTGTCTGTATTCCTTCAATATTATATTCAGGCACTAGTTTTTTTTTAATTTGTTGTTGTCGTCTATCGCGTTTTGTTGACCTAAAAGTAAATAATTAGTGGTATTTCACTAGTAAATGTAAATCTTATAGAATTACTTACCCAAGACAATTACTCGTCGGATTTTGTGGAAATCTTGCGGTAGGTTTGAGATCTTTTAATGTGCTGGTAACCTTCTGTCTATCTAAACTTGGGCATAGGCTTGGCCATTTACCAATATTTGGGCTTTGAAAAGTATTGTTTGGATCAGCTGTCAGTTGTAGGTTATACTTAAAACGGTTGAAGTTCGTAGTCCGTTCGCGCGCATCCAATCGACATTCGCAACGTGTAGATAGATAGACGTTATAGCTACTTAGGTGCAATCGAAGGGAATATTTGGCAAATCAATACCTTACAATTGTATTAACTCACCTGTGGGACATTTTTGTAATATAATCCAACACCTATCTTTTCGATTTATTAATTGGAGTAATTCTACATCGGTTATGGCAAAATCTGCCTGATATGTGCAGAATTTAGCGGCAACAACGAGTTGTGGTACAGATGCACTTCTTGTGGGTTATGGTTGCACAAAGACTGTAGTGGGTGGGATTCACCAGAAGGTTACGTGTGTGACAACTGTTAGCGTAGGTTGATTCTCATTGCCCACCTAGTGATCATAATTACCCGCATATGTGAACAATGGTGGTCAAAGCTGATTTTTTTTTAATATTATAATTCCTAAACTGTGTTCCCAAAGATGATCAAACTATTTGAGACTGGTAATTTGTTAATTAAAGTACATAAAGAGTTGATTTAAGAAAGTTTTAGACATAAACCTGTTATTTAGTGACTCCCATTACCCCTTTCTCCCCTATCGATCACTGCCCAATAATGCTACAAGTTATTTTTGCTCAAGATGAAATAAAGAATACAAGCTCCAAATTTGATAATATTAGATACATCGAGTAAACCAATTACAATAAACTTAGATTCAAGCTACAAAATGAGACTTGGAATTCTGTATACCTAATAAACGATTTAGAAGTGCTTTTATTAATATTATTAAAGTCAATATACAATTTTCTACCAAATTTGTAAAATTAAATCATTTAAAAAAGAAAATAAAACTGTGGATAACAAATGCTATTCCATTAATACTAAAAATAAAATGCAAATAGAATTAAAAAAACATTTCAATAATGTTGTAACCTTCGGGTTTGGTTTTAACTATATTTTTTGTTTCACATTAAATTGTGCTTTACTACTTTTTTGTTTCACATTAAATTGTGCTTTACTACTTTTTTGTTTCACATTAGGTTTAGTGTTGAGCACTTAAATCGGTGGGTTTTTTCTTCAATCATTGGTTGTCCATATTTTAACCTGCTCAATATTCATAACTTTAACCTCTTGCTTTAATTGTTTTACTTATTACTTGCCTAATATTCATAACCTTAAACTCTTGCTTTAATTGTTTAACTTCATAACTTACCTTGACATTAAAACTACGTATAACTCATGAGACTTTATTGAACAACAACAACAACAACAATACAAAGTGTTTTATAGCCATGTCACTCAGGTTGTCATATTCTTGGCAGTCCATTCGGCTAAGATTTCCTAAAAGGAAAAGTGGTGTTATCAAGCGAATACGCATTTTTAATTGAGTCAGAGCTTGAATATTATTTGTTTTTCTTTTATTAATAACTTCGTGGGATGGGAATAAAAGTTTACCTTTGTTTATTTAATGCAGAACATCCTATTATTATTTTGCGAATTCTGGCTGTTGAAATTGGTTTGTCAGGCCATTGAGGTCACCTATAAAGAAATACGTTTTATTATTGCCTTTGAGACAGTTATGGATTCGTAAATGATTAGTTAGGATAGTAAATATTCAAGTTACTTACCACTTTTTTGTTTACAACATTTAGAATTGTATGTCAGTCGGCAAAGTCATCTGCGGTATTTGACGTTTCATCTGTCACAATTAGGAGATTTCGTTCGGTAAAGTTTAGACGTTCGACTGGTTTAATACCAGTGGTATTCATTGACGGTTGCGGGGTTGCCAAATACAAATCTTTTAGATTTTGAGCACGTACGGCGGGTCCGACGCATGGTGCAATGTATACATATAGTGTCAGATATCGCGAGGTTGCAAACGAATATGCACATATATGTTCGACGTTAGCGGCAGGTTCGCTGATGATACTATATAAACGTAAAGACCCAACCGGCAACACTGGGTACATTTAACCTACGGTGTTACATTATTAATTAAAATGTCAAATTTCGAGCGATAAAGATTGCCTGGATTCTCCTGTCGTTGTGTTTTGTTCTTTGTTTGAACTATTGGTTAAACTAAAGTCTTAAAATCATTCTTATTCTTCTGCGTTTAATTTCTACTGTTAGATGTTTTGATTTCCGTGCCAATTTTGGGTAGTATTACGCACATCCGGCCGAGAATGTTCTAGAACCTGGTGGAAACAGGAAATGGTTTTTTAAGGGACGCGAGCCCTCACCACTTGGCAATTGTGTGTTCAGCAGACAAGTACGTAGTAAATTTTGGCTTTTCACGCCTAACCTGATAAAGGGATATAAACGTGCTTTTCTAACTTGGAAGTTGTGCTGTTGTTTTGGCATTGTGTTTTGAAGGAATCAAACGGCTTCCAAACGGCTTTGTAGCCGGATTAAAACTGAACCGCTGCTAACATTTCCATACGTTTCCACCATAAGTTCGTAAAGGACATCAACTCCATATAGGAGACAACCCAGAGGAATAAGAATCATTTAACCCTTATTATCAAGGTAGGGCATATTTTTTATTATATCGAGAGACGAGTTCTCAGGTGGGTTTATTTTATTTTTAGGGTTTTAATTCTGGGCCTAGAGCCTCAGTTTAAGTCTCGAGCAAGATTATTGTCTCAAGTATAGAGATCAAGTTGTTTTAAGTCGCACCTCCTGTGTCACCCACGATCACCAGGATATTAGATATTGGATACCGTACACGGATGGACATTGACTGACGTACAATTCTTACAGGAAAAGCTCCACGTACACCAATTTTGTCTTACAAAGTGCAGAACTAAGGTCAGATCCATTTCTTTAACAAACAAATAGGTCCTGGTAGAATATTTATCAAACTTTTAATCATATTTAATATAATCTTTGATTAGTGTGAACTGCGGCTACATTGGCCAATATACACGAAGGGTGTTTAATCATACTGTAATACCAGGGTACTTTAAATAACTTGTACTTTATTAACTTGTCTTGGGATCTGATTTAAGTATATTCTTTTTATATATAAACTTCAATTTTTTTTAGTAATTTCTTTTATTCTCATCCCATAAAAAAAATTACTTGGTGCCCAATTCTAAAAAGTTTAAAGGTAAGTAGTAATTACGAAGGACATTCACCCACGACCACCTGAGCTAGCGGGATTTTGTGGCTCAGAGTCTACGTAAGAGATTCTGCGCTATAAATTTGGCGCCCCAACGTTCTTCGTAATTGCTACTGACTTTTTGTTTGTAAATTTTTTTTTTTTTTTATTTTTTTAAATATTAGTTTTTAAATTCTAAAACCCAAATAATTTTGTCTAAGCAACACGGGTTGCTTAAAATTTTTTGGAAGGGGGTGAATTTAAGATTGTTTAGCACTAGTACACTGACTAATATTTTTTTAATTTTTTTTGATTTTTTTTTATTGTACTATCATTTGATTACATTACTTTGCCACTTATATTTTTTTTGCTGCGTATTGTTGTTGTTGTGTTACTGTATCCATCATGAGCGTTAATAAGGTTTATCTGTTGAAACAAGATGAACTTCAATACGAATGTACTATACGAGGGTTAAATACGGATACAG